CAAATTTACTGTCAATATATCCTTGGATTTCGGGATCAAAGGACAGCACTCTTGGATTGTCCTCTTTAGGGGCCAACACCGGCGGCATCGCTATCTTCTCCGCGGCCTTCTTGCGGGACATTTCCAGCCTCTGATCAGTTAATACAGGAGTTGTTAATCAAGACAACAAATGGTGAGACAATTGTATACCAAATTGAGTTCATTATCGGTCATAAAGCGGACTTCGTTGGCGTGGGATGTGAGCCGAGGTTTGGCCGCAAACACCTTCTGGTCGTCGAAACCAATCAATCGCTTCAATAATGTCTGCACTCGTGGTCTCAAAAATATCCTCTCAATGTCTTTATCACTGTTCGGGCCATCGATGGTGTGATTGCTGTGACACAAGCGGTTCCACACCAGCGCCGACACCGACGACGAGTGATTGGGTGTCCGTTTGATGGCATGACTGAAACGATTCGCTGATTTAATGATTAATATTTGAGACAATTTACTGATTGAACACATGTTTTATGTTTACAATCGCTTTTCAAATGCCTTTCCTTTACATAACTTTTATAACACAACAAACTATTCATTCATTTGTCTCACATATGGCCAACAGATGGCAACCTTTGTTCCCATTGGCTCTCAAACATCCAAAACTACATTTACCTATAGGTTTGAGTGTTTCCCAAACCGACATATAATGTTTCCAAACTTTACAGAAGTTTTATGATAACAATATCGGATATATTATCAGTAACTTTCCAGACATCGGGAAAATTCTTTGAGTAAAAATTTTATCGAAACTTTATATGTAAACCAATCAGAGGTTAGCGTTGATTATGAGGTAATAGTTTTGCGAAAGTTTTTAAAATAAAAAGTTTGTATTGTTTTTGGTTTTCAATGCAAACAATCATTGATTGAATGAATTGTTTCTTAATTTCAATTAAAACTTTAATTCAATGAATGATTGCTTTTATTAATAATACTTTTTATTTAGATTTGAATGACTTTTAATGGTATAACGAGTCCACCATTTGGTTGACAGTAAACCCGATATCTGTCCGCAATCACAGTCCCATCAAGTCTTCTGATGGCACTCTCGAAGACTGATCCACAGATGAGTGGACACAACGACTCTTGTGGTAAGACATTGTCCATTGGATCTCAACCGTGATCTCAATTCCCATTGGCTTTCAATTAGTTTTATAACAATTATTTTTGATCAATAATCACATGATATGTAAACGTCTCGTGAAATGAATGAATTAATTAATATTCAAAACGAATAGTAATTTGTATTTAGATTTGAATTTCAAAACCAAAACTGATTTTCATTTACTGTTCAAAAATCTCTGACTTCTTTGCGACCAATGTTTGGATCAATTAGAGTGACAGCGATTGCGACGGTTTTGTTGTCGGCAATTGTCTCGTTAGGTGTGTCTCAGAGCGACATTTGGAGTCCGTATTGCGACGCGAAGGCCAAGAATGACATCCAA